GGTGTGAGCAACAGGGCAGTTAGAATTCTCAGCAAGTTGCACCTAATGGTCATGTATTCAAGAAGAGTTCAACATGAGGATTGTTAATTCCAAGGGAAGGAAAGAAAGAAGGAAAGGAAAGGAAAGGAATAGAAAGGAAGGGAAGGAAGGAAGGAAGGAAGGAAGGAAGGAAGGAAGGAAGGAAGGAAGGAAAGAATTTTTTACTCTGAAGATGTTGGAAGGAAGGAAGGTTGGGAAAAAGGAGAGAGGAAGGAAGGAAGGAAGGAAGGAAGGAAGGAAGGAAGGAAGGAAGGAGAAAGTTTTCACTGTGAAGAAGTTGTATGGTGAACATGAAAGCAGGGGGGGAAGGAAAGAAAGAAAGACCCTCCTGAAAGACGCATGTATCTTACTAGCAATTGAATGAAACATCACTCCCAGGCATCAAGCAAATTGAAAGGAAACATCAACAATCATCTTTCTGGCTGAAACACTGTTCAGCCTACTGAAAAGGCTAGGTTTGCATATTACATGACTGTGCAAGTCCTCAAAAACACAGGAAATATTTATCCAACCAACTGTAGCCATATTGGTCCGTGGTGTGTGTAAATGTGCGTGACAACCAACATCTATGCTACAACAATGTGTCAGGAGCAAACACTCTGAGGCAAAAGAATGTGTGGAACCGTTTGTTGAGTTGGTGTACAAGAAAAAGAGAAGCGAGGAAGAGCAGAAATTAAACTCTGTGGTTCGAGGCATGAAGCTGTGACAGTAGCACGGTCCCAACAAAACACAAAGCACCAACACAGCATAACAACAGCTGAATCTCTGGAGCTCATCTTCCTCCAGTTTGTGTCTATCTTGAGTTCCTTTGCTCCTCTCTGATGGAGGGTTCAAAAATAACCACACCATCCACTCCTCATTAACAACCATTTTTCCTGGTAACAGGCAGTCCTTAATGTACAACCACCACTGAGCCCAAAATTTCTGTTGCTAAACCAAACAGTTGTTCAGTGAGTTTTGCCCCATTTTATGACCTTTCTTGCCACAGTTGTTAAGCGAATCGCTGCAGTTGTTAAGTTAGTAACGAGCGAATCTGGCTTCCCCATGTACTTGGCGTCCGAAGGTCGCAAAAGGGGATCACAGGACCCCCCCCCAGAACGCTGTGACCGTCATGAGTCAGTTGCCAAGTCTCCGAATTTTGTTCACGTGACCACAAGATAGCCGACACCGACAACTCTAGCTTGTGCATTGAGTACCAAACAAACAATGACAAAATTTTACCAGGACAAAATTTTCACGTCAAAATGCCCTGAGTACCAAATTTGATGCGTTTCAAAGCAGTTGAGTACCAAGGGACCACTGTATATGTTGACTACGACTCCCAAAATTCACAACTCTGGTGTGCCAATAGATCTGAAGGTGTAAACCCATCTCTATTTGCTAGGACAGTGTTTGTCAAGTTTGGCAACTGTAGGCCGTGAGATCCGCTTACTGGCTTTTTAAAGTTGCCCAACTGTAGAAAGACCGTGCTAGGTGCATCGGGGTGTGTGTGTGTGTGTGTGTTAATATCCCATTTGTACGCTTTTTTGAATATATCTGGTGGACCTGTGGGTGAGATGGAAAACTTCCTAAATTAACCTGGATCGACCCAGCAGGAAACAAGGACACCAGAATATTCCTGGTAAAGAAAAGAGAAAAGGGAAGAAACTCACTCAGTTCTTATTCTCAGTTTAGATTTTCTGCAACGCAGACATTTTTGTTTGCCTGTATAAGCTAGCATCATCTTACTTTGCATTATCTTACTTTTGTGTCTATAAGCCAGCATTAGGCCATCCCATGGTTTCCATGGCTGGGAATACCTTTCTCCCACCATAAAATGCTATGACCGACAAGTAGTTATACAATGGCAGTGTTCCTACAACACCCTGACCCAGGTCAGCGAAAGAAACAGGTGGATGAATCTGCAAGGTGTACTAGGCTTGGCTAGAGATTCTGGCCCACTAAACCCTAAGCCATGATTTGCAAATCACAACAAGGAGATTTACACAACCCGCAAAGTCACGATTTGCTGGGCTCACCCCCTTTCTTCAGCCATAACCAAACGACAGCCTGAATCCCAGTCTTAGGCATGTCCCTTCCATCCATGCATCCTTCAATTGGTCTACATCTTTGGAATTGGATATATAAGGAAGCATTTCTCTCTGTTTCCTTTCCCCGCCCCAAACCGTTACAACGATCCCCCTTCTTTAAATAAAAGCAACCGTGTACCTTTGCGTAACCTGTGCCATTCTCCAAAACGTCCCTCCTTTTCTGAACTGCTTGGCTTCTCTAAGAGGCTACCTTGGCCACGTTGTGTGGGTGGCACGTTGCCAGCAGCACTGCAGCTTTCGCGAGGGTTGCAGGGGAGAGTGGCCATCGGCTTCGCTCCACCTGCGCGTTTCTCTCACCTCTTGGAACAGCGTGGCAATAACAAAAGCCAAGGAAGGGCTGGGAAGAGCTGTGATAAACAACTCTGGGTCTGAAAGGCTGGAGGGGCTGGCACTCAGCCCAGCCCCTCTCCCCGGGAAGGAAACCGCCGCTTGGTGGAGCAGGGCGATCTCCATCAAGGCGCGATGGGCTGACTTCTCCCTTTTCAGATGTGAATGAAGACGTAATTTGGAGTGCTGCACATGAAGCGCATGACGCCGTTCGGCTCATCATCCCACACAATAGGCCTGCTTGATTGGCCTGCAAGGATCTGCCTAGGAAGCACATTCTGAGTATGTTGGGAGAACAAAGCAGGATCTCTGCTCTCTGCAGTTTTGGCCCCGGCGTGTTGCAGGCGTGGGTGAGAATCCGAAAGATTGCTTGGGATCTTGGATCCCTGACAGTGAGAACAATTAACCGGTGGAACGGAAGTTGCCTCCAGAAGTGGTGGGTGCTCCATCACTGGAGGTTTTCAAGAAGAGACCGGACAACTGTTTGTCTGGAATGTATAGGGTCTCCTGCTTGAGTAAGTGGGTTGGACTAGAAGACCTCTTAAGGTCCCTTCCAACTCTGTTTTCTGCATTCTGCGTTATTTTGTATCGAGACGCTTCACCTGTTGGTGTCAATGGGTCTTATAGAAGGTTCAAGAACAAACATGGACACTTTTCCTTGTCACTTGGTGACTTTTTTTTTTTCCTAGATGGGAGACATCTAACTGACAGATGGGCTAACCTCATAGGGTTGTCTTCCCCAGCTGGATTTATGGGAAATGGAGTAACTCTATGAAGAGACGTGCGTAAACCGATACTTGACACTAATCTAGCACGGGAAAATTCAGACGTATTTGGTAATATGGATAATACAGTGAAACTGTATTGATTCCTAGGAAGAAGACTTGAAATTGCTGCATAATGTTAAGACACAGTCTTCAGTGTTTCCATCCCAAATCTGGACACCCTCTAAATCCATGGTCAACCTTCTTGTAAGCCTGCATCTAGGGCTGTGGAAGAAAGCTGTGCGTACACTTGATGGTGGCTAAAAGAGTTTTGAGATGCTTGGAGGAACTCTTGTGTTATGTTATTTGCACACCCTGTTTTTCTATGCGAAGTACACAGACCAAATAGTTCTCTTTGCTTATACTGTCTTAGAAATCCATTCTGTTGTCATTTTGTGACAGTTTGGTGCTTTTAACGTCTCCATCAAACCACCTCTCTCATCTGCATCTTTGTTCTATAGTTAGAATTATACACCTACTTAGAATTGTACCATCCTTGGGTTTGGCTGAAATGCCTTTAATAGAATCTCTATTCTTAGACCATCTTTGTGAGCAAAGATTTTACTTCCAGGCATGATCAGGCCCACAACCCCAAGCCCCCTTCCTCTCAGCAAGTTAATGCGCCTGGCTACAATGCAAAGACACACACGACATCCATCAGTTCCCCGAGGGCCTTATTTAAACAGCCAAGCTTTCACTTCTTTAACATCCTTTTTATGAGGACAACAGCCCTGCCTGTCCCTCTTCTAACTTTCCTTGCCTGGGTTTGCAAATCGTTGCGCATTTTGAAAAAGCAAACATATGGCTCCCCATTCACCATTTTCTGAAACCTTAAAAGACGAGACAGACTTGATTCATGAAGGAGGCAGCTTGCAACTGGATCCCCGTCAGCTGTTCGTCTTTGGGAAAATCTTATGCAATGCATCATGGATGAATTCTTGTCCCGGGCCATTTGAGACGGTGCCATCTACCTGTGGTACCAAATAGCTGTCAGGCACATAAACCAGATGCTTCACTTTCTGATAAACATGACTGAAAACTGATGGCTCTTTTGGGTATCTCCTACCTATGGGAATGCCTTGTGATCAATGACTGGGTTTTTTTTTATTTTAAAACACAACTTTTGCAAGGTCTTTTAATTCAGGATCAAGCCCTTTCACTGGCTAAGAAACTCAGAAGTGAAAATATTTCCACCTGGAAACCGCTTCTGGACTCTGTTCAAGACAGGAAAAAAAATGGAATTTTGATTTTAGGATTTGCTGACTAGAGAAGGGTGTTTTATAGAAATGGCCAGTAGGTGTAAAAGTAAAAAGTGAGGTTGTGTTTCATGATTTTTATTTTACTCTGCTGAAAGACATTGGAGGTTAATCCTTTTTTTTTTACTTGTTTTTTTCCCCTTACCCGACTCTTCTCTTTCCCTCTCTTTTCCCTTTCCCTTTTCCCTATTATCTTTGTTTTTATTTGAATTTTATATTATGGTAATTTCAGAGAGAGAGAGAGAGGTGAAAACATTATTGCTGGCATCGCTGAACTCTTGTGAAAATTCACACACCCTGCATTTAAACAACCTGATATTTCACTCTTGACAGCAAGTGAGAAACTTATTTTAGAATAATTTGTTCCTCTTTTCCCCTATTTTTTTCTGGAATATTAGAAAACAACAGCAAGATTTGGGGGGCTTGTAAGGCAATAGAAAAAGAAGGAATTCCCAGAAAAATCACACCAGGGGTATCCCATTCTTCTCCAGACATTTGAGATGACAACTTCCACGATTCCTTACCATATACTGGTGCTTGTAGTTCAAATTAAGTGGAAGATAGCAGGTTGCTGATTTCTGCAATAGTCTGTAGACCACAGGAAAATGTTCAGTGCTGTGAAAGCAATGAGATTTGAGCAATTGCTTGAGTTGGCCACAGTTGGGTTTGTGTAACAGGTTAGGCAAAAAAGAAACAAACTTTTAGAGCAGTGTTTTTCAAACTTGGTCACTTTGAGACGTGCAGCGGCTTCAGTTTCCAGAAAAACTGAAAACGCAGTCTCCACACATCTCAAAGAGTTCAAGTTTGAAAAGCATTGCTTTACAGCAACATGGGAACAGGTTTACAAAATATTTGTTTGCCAACTGGATTGTGAAGAAGCTTTACTGCCTAATTCCTTGAAAGACAACTGTATCTGCTTTCGCCTGGGGCATGTTTCAGTGGCTATATGATGATCAAACTTTGGAAAACCACCTTGGGTGTTAGTAGATCCCAATGGTATAAAACAATGTTTCGCAGCGGCTTTAGGATGGGTGGACTTCAACTCCCAGAATTCTCCAGCCAGCATGGCTGGCTGGGGAATTCTGAGAATTAAAGACCATATATCTTACAACTGCTGTGATTGTGAAACACTGGGGTAAAGACTTCTTAAAGTGTTCTGCAATGGATGCATTCCATTCCAGTCCATTTCCATTCTTTCCCTCCACATTTACTGATTTCTCTGTTAGTTTTGGAATGAGCTGAGCTAATCTCTAGCCCTTTGACTGTTAATTTTTTGTTGATGTGACAGTGTGGTTTATGCTATTTGTTTTCTCGTCTGCTGCTGACTTTTATGCCGTACTTATGTTTTATGGGTTATTTTTTACACGTTGGTTCTCTTTTATTGTCAACTCTCCCAAGAATGTTTATTGGGTGTAGGGAGGAAGCATAATTGGCTTTTAGTAAAATAAATTAGATTAAATAGATGCACAAACTTAACATGGTTAAGCCTATGTATGAACCACAGAGATATTAATGGCAACAGTTGTATTCAATTCAGTTGTGGCGTCTGTATATATTTTCAAGGAGGGGAGGCCTACCATTCTCAATAGCCCTGAGTCACAAGGTGAATAGGGCTGCGGGAACTATAACTCAGCAAATATTTACAGGCAATCCTCAACTTACAACCACAATGGAGCCCAAAGTTTATGTTGCTAAGTGAGACATTTGTTAAGTGAATTTTGCCCCATTTTACGAGAATATCCACCCCGTTCATTTATCCTCTCTTAGACTAATTTCTTCTTTATATATTTTTAATCTCCACCTCCAGGTGCCTGGAAGTCCTCCACTGCTGGATTAAGGAAGTCACACGGCTGCATTATTTCATTAAGGTACAGTAGTTCTCAACTTACAACCATCATGGAGCCCAACATTTCTGTAGCTAAACAAGACCATAGTTAAGTGAACTTTGGCCTATTTACAACATTTCTTGCCACAGTCATTAAATGAATCATTGTAGTCATTAAATTAGTAACGTGGTTGTTAAGCGAATCGGGCTTCCCCATTGACTTTGCTTGTCAGAAGGACACAAAAGGGGATCGCACAACTCCAGGACCCTGCAAACTGTCATAAATGCGAGTCAGTTGCAAGTGTGTGAATTTTGAACATGTGGCCGTGGGGATGGTATAACGATCGTAAAGTCACTTTTTCTAGCGCCGTTGTAATTTTTGAATGGTCACTAAATGAACTGTTGTAAGTCAGGGACTACCTGTATAAAGCCAATGGTTACCCGCTCCAACTTTCATCTGGGTACAAGACAATTGGAGCTGTTACTCATCTGACAGAGAGCAGGGAGAGAAAAATCGCATTGCTTTAAACAGTGCTTAAAATGCAAAATGTATTGAACCTTTTAATTTTTTTTTCATGGAATTCTTTGCAATTGGCTGGGGAATTCTGGGAGTTGAAGTTCGCAAGTCTTAGGCTTGTCAGCGTTGGATACCTCTGAGTTAGACAGAGTCTGCTGCAGGGGTAGGCAACCTCGGCTCTTTTATGACTCGTGGACTTCAACTCCCAGAATTCCTGAGCCAGCCACGCTGAGGGGAAAGGGAGAGGTTTCCAAGCTGAGCCATGCTGGCTCAGGAATTCTGGGAGTTGAAGTCCGCAAGTTATAAAGCGGCCTAGGCCTAGACCAGGGGTGGGCAACCTTGGCTCTTTTATGACTCGTGGATTTCAACTCCCAGAATTCCTGAGCCAGCCATGCTGAGGGGAAAGGGAGAGGTTTCCGAGCTGAGCCATGTTGGCTGAGGAATTCTGGGAGTTGAAGTCCACGAGTCATGAAGGGGCCATAGTTCCCCCATACTGGCTGAGGAATTCTGGGAGTTGAAGTCCACGAGTCATAAAGCGGCCTAGGCCTAGGCCAGAGGTAGGCAACCTTGGCTCTTTTATGACTCGTGGACTTCAACTCCAAGAATTCCTGAGCCAGCCATGCTGAGGGGAAAGGGAGAGGTTTCCAAGCTGAGCTATGCTGGCTCAGGAATTCTGGGAGTTAAAGTCCACCAGTCATGAGGGGATCATAGTTCCCCCAAGCTGGCTGAGGAATTCTGGGAGTTGAAGTCCACGAGTCATAAAAGAGGCACGGTTGTCTACCCCTGGTCTAGTCTAGTGAATTCACCCTGCAAATACAGTCTGGTACTCTCCATGGTGCTGAAATAATGTGTTTTAAAATGGTCTTTCCCCTTGAGTCAAGTTCTACGTCTGTTGCCTTCACCCACCCTCCCCTGGGCTTTCCTTCACAGTAATCAGGAAACCTTTCAATATTGCCAACTTTCAATAAAGTTTACTATTTCTTAAAAAGCGCCTGCAAAGCCAGGCTTCACCAAGTGCATTATAATGAATTCAAATCAATGACCCAGCAGCTATTAAATATATTTCTATACTGTTTCCATAAAGTGCCATCTCAAAATAAACCATATCCAATCAATAGCATTAAAACGTTCCGTTAAAAATAGGGAGAAAATGCATGTGTACATACCCATTTATGCACCAACGCCGCCTTAAAAGTAACTCCAGATCATGCCAGCTGCACCTATGTCAGGAAATATTAAAATGCAGAGGCTGGACTAGCTTTGCTGCTTCCTTTTTGTATTCCATGAGTATAGGAAATAGACCCAAATCAGCTCATATTCTCTCGAATCTGAGTCTCTGATGTGAGACTTCCACGTTGCAGAGTAATTGGGATCATGCTAAAAATATACAATGTGGCTGTTTGAGGGCCTAATCCTCTCTGATCTTTTTTGACTTTCCACATGGCTCTTCATGTTCTTTAAAACAATTAAGGCTCTTTTTTTTGCCTCTTAACTGGTTCTTTTTCAGAGGAAGCAAAGGATTTTTAAGGAAAGGAAAGGAGAAATGAAAAGGGAAGGAAAGGAAAGGAAAAGGAAAGGAAAGGGCATTCTCTCCCAATACAGCCATGTCCCTGTCCGGATTGCTAACTTCAGAGCTGGGAGTGTTACAAGAAACAAGCCAAAAATGTATTTTATATGTGTTAATTCAATTTATATACCCACTTCCTTGCCATGTAACTCTGGGTGACTAACAACCAGCTAAGTACAACAAACATAGCGATTAAAACATGTGCCAGAGATATAATATAATAGTTGAATTGTTCAGAAACTGAGCATCTGTTAGCCCTTCCAGGTAGTCCAGACAAGAAGCACAACCAACACAATTATCTTTACTGTAAGGTCACATTAACAGAATAGCAATAGCCCTTAGACTTATATACCGCTTCATAGTGCTTTACAGCCCTCTCTGAGCAGTTTACAGAGCTAGCACATTGCCCCCAACAATCTGGGTCCTCACTACCAACTCGCCACGGGGCAATTGAACAATTCAAGTTTAATTATTTAAAATGAATTTTAAAAAACATTTCATTCTGTCCCTCCTTTCACATCTTTTCCTTAATGATTCTAATCCACCATTTCTTTGATATTAGTGTAATTCTTGTCCCGTAGCGACTTGTCCTGTGGCGAGTTGGCCACAGCAAAATGGCCGTGGCAAATTGGCCATGGCGAATTATCATCGACCCCTGTCTCCACCTTTGCAAGTATGTAGGATGGGGCTGGCTCCACACAAAAATATGGTCCTAAAATTCACTGGGAATGAAGCCATAGAGAGCTTTAAAGGTTAAAACCAGCTTGTTTAACCATACTCGGAAGCCAACTCAGTGCCAGCCACACAAGCATTACGTGTCTCTTCCCACCAACAGTAAACATATTGCACTAGGCCTGTTTCTCTCTGCCCCATCCTATGCCAAGCAGGATCAAAATGGGCTATTATGAGTTTTTCCCAGCATTTCCAACTTTTTCAGGTCTCCAGCTGCCATTTCTCCTCTCTTAGCCCTCACCTTTTCTAAAGTTCTTTCTACATTCCTTTACAAGAGATGCTAGACATGAATCAATGAAAACTTGTTTGAGAAGCCAAGATTGAACCACTTTCCTAGAAATGACAACGCTGTTATCTGCAGGGGAGGGTAAAAAAAATGATTTAGCTTCCTTTAAGGAAAGAAGAACCATGGAGATCTTGAAAGATTAAAACCAGCACATTTAACCATACTCAGAGGCCAGGCAAAATCCACCTGAGCTTCTGAACACAGGCACCAAATACGAATCCATAAGACCAGAGTTCCTCTGAATCCAAGCATCTCAAAACTCTTTTAGCCACCATCAAGAGTAAACACGGCTTCTTTCCACAGCCCTAGATTCAGACTTACAAAAAGATTGGCCATGGATTTAGAACAGGGGTCTTCCAACTTGGCCCTTTTATGATTTGTGGACTTCAACTCCCAGAATTCCTCAGCCAGGCAAGCTGGCTGAGGAATTCTGAGAGTTGAAGTCCACAGGTCATAAAAGGGCCAAGTTTGAAGACCCTTGATTTAGAGGGTGTCCAGATTTGGAATGGAAACACTGAAGACTGTGTCTTCACATTATGCAGCAATTTCAAGTCTTATTCCTAGGAATCAATACAGTTTCATTGTATTATCCATATTACCAAATACGTCTGAATTTTCCCCTGTGCTAGATTAGTGGCAAGTATCGTTTTACACACGTGACTCTTCATAGGGTTACTCCACTTCCCATAAATCCAGCTGGGGAACACAACACTAAGAGGTTAGCCCATCTATCTGTCAGTTAGATGTCTTCTATCTAGAAGAAAAAAATCATTAAGTGACAAGAAAAAGTGTCCATGTCTGTTCTTGAACCTTCTGTCAGACCTGTCGACACCAATAGGTGAAGCTTCTCACTACAAAATAATGCAGAAAACAGAGGTGGAGATCTTCTAGATCAGTGGTTCTCAACCTTTTTAATGCCGCGACCCCCAACCAGTCATAAGTCGAGGGCTACTCAACCGGTTGTAAGTCGAGGACTACTCAACTGTTGCAGCACTGTTTGCAGATTGGGGCTTTTGGCGGGCTCAGCAGGGCAAAGACAGCCTGGACAATTCCTATTGGCTTTTGAAAGCCAATAGAATTGGACTCTATTCAAGAGAGTCTATTCAAAAGCCAATAGAATAAAAGGGAGTAGCACAGCTAAGGAAAAGGGGAGGAAAAATGGCGGACTGCATTGTTTGGCGACCCCCGTGAAATGGTCGTTCAACCCCAAATGGGGTCCCGACCCACAGGTTGAGAACCACTGAACTAGATCAACCTTGGGCGCATGGCAGGAAATCCTATACCATTCTGGACAAACAGTTGTCCATTCCTTTCTTGAAAACCTCCAGAGATGGTGTACCCACAACATCTAGAACCAAGCGATTCCACTGGTTAATTGTTCTCACTGTCAGGAAAGTTCTAGATTGCTTCTCTCTTTGATTAGTTTCCATCGTTGCTTCTTGGCCTGCCTTCAGGTGCTTTGGAGAATAGTCGATTCCCTCCTCTCTGTGACAGGCCCTCAAATACTGGAAGACACTTATCATGTCACAGCTAGTCCTTCTCTTCATTAGCCTAGACATACCCAGTTCCCACAGCCCTTCATTGTACGCTTTTCTATGCTGTTCTTTTAAGGTTTGCTGATATAGTTGGGCAGACAAATGCAGGAGATGGGGTTCCAATTAAGCAACCGTATTGATCTTTGTTGATGGGAAGGATATTTCTACGGGTCCCACATTTTTTGCCTGCTAAAGCCAAACAAGGATGCGGTAGATTCTGGAAAGAGCGAGATCTCTACATTTTGAGTAGCGAACCAAGAATTTCTTCTATCCAGAAAGGAAACTAGAACCACAGAGAACCCACATTCAAAATAATCTCTGTCTTTTCTTCTTTCATTCACCCAAGAAGAGGAAAAAAAAATAGTGGCATTCATTAATATCTGCTGAGGTGTCCTTCCTCTCTCTCTCTCTCTCTCTCTCTCTCTCTCTCTCTCTCTCTCTCTCTCTCTCTCTCTGTATGTATGTATGTATGTATGTATGTATGTATGTATGTATATATCTTCTCTCCCTCCCTCTCTTTCTTTCCTGATCTCAATCCTTGACTAAAACCTCTTGAAATGTGTTTTGTAATAGCATTGTAACAGCCCTGATATGGTTCCTGAAGAGATTTCTTCTAGAATCTAACAGGTGAAGTTACTCTAGGGCGCTTCTCTGCATGTTACGAAAAGCATCACAGGCCATCATTTGGGGATCCAGGTTGGCATTAAAAGAAGGGGAAAAAGCACAGAACCAGGAGTCCGTCAAAATGGGTTACCTTAGGCACAGACCAGGGTCCCTGAAATCGATCCCAGCGGGCCAATTTTGTGGACCGAAGTCATTCTCCGCTTCAGTGGCGGTTCTTCAACATTAAATCTAGAGAGCTACATCCCAAATTAGAGACACAGAGAGATGGGGGGGGGGTTGTTTCCATGTAGCAAGAAAGGGTCCAAATGAGAAGAGATGGTTTTACCGACTGTGGTTGAGGGCCAAATCCCAAACAGCTGGGCCAGGATTCATTCCTTAGCCCTCTGCCTTCTTTTCCAAGTAACCAAGCCACATGGGCATGCGATTAACCACCGTTGCTTCTCCATAGCTTCTCCACCAGCCCAGGTTACCTGGCAGAAGCCCTGTCCATCAAAGGTGTCTCAAATCCCTCCACTTCAGCGGCGTGCCTTCCTCACAAAGCAGGGTAACAACACCACGGCCCCACCCTGCCCCATCCTTTGATGAGCTGGCCTCCAGAGCCGGCCACTCAGAATTTTCCATCCAATGCAGCAAAGCCCAACCTGGGGTTGAGAGAAATCCTTTGGGGGGGGGGGAACCTGGACTGCAACGCCAAGAGGAACCTCGTTCCCCCCTCCCCCTTCCCCACGGCCCTACTCGGGAGGACGAGAAGGCTGGTCCTTACGTAACGGCCAACCTGACATCCCAACCGGGCATCTCTGCCGGAAAGGGGGGATGCAGGCAGCCAAGCGGGGGACCTTCCCACAGGGCAGATGTGAGAAGACCCTGGTGGCAGGCATCCTGCTCTGGAGGCAGGGTTGGGGACGGGAGAGAAGGGGGGGGGCTTTGTGGCCAAACAGCTTCAATCCACCAAAATTCGCACGCTTACCTCCAAGACCTTTGTCTTAGCACATCCCTTCCTCACCCACTGCAACAGCAGCCAGAGCTGGGGGGGGGGAGAATATATCACAATCCTTCAGTTGGAGGGGGGGGAGGATCCGAGCAGAAAGGCCCCTCTCAATTCTCCTTTTCTAACCCAGCCAGGTAAACCGGAGCTGGATGTTTGCTTGTTGTGCCGATGGCTGGGTGTTTCTCTCTCTCTCTCTCTCTCTCTCTCTCTCCTTCTTCTTCTCTCAAGCTTCTCCTGGTCTTCCAGCAGGCAATAATCCACCGGTCTGTTGTTTGCTCAGCCACGAAGCCAAGAAGAATCTGGAAAAAGCCCCCCCACACACACACAAGCCGGGCATTCCCCCCCCACCACCACCGCTGATCAGAATGAGGGGTCTTGCCGGGAAAGGGAGGAAAAGAGGGAGCCCCCAGCCTCTCCTTCCCTCCCCATTGCCACCGAAACAACAGCAACAACAGGGAGAGCAGTTGGGGTTCCAAACAAGCCCCCCCAATAAGAATAACAATGGCTGGGATGGTGGCGATGAGTTATCCAGACGGCAGGCAGGCAGGCACGGAAGCGAGATGCAGGATCCACTTCTCCAGCGCTCACTCTCTTTCCCTCCCTCCCTCCCTCCCTCCTTCTCTGCCTTCACGTACACACACACACTCATCCACACTGCACATCCACACTTCCTAGCCTGACACTCAAGTGCCCTCAAGCAAAGCCAGTTAAAGGCACACAAGCCGGCGAGGGTCTCTTGCCATTCCTCTCTCTCTCTCCCCCTACCCCACCTCCTGGCTGGATTCCAAGAAACGATTACAAGCTTTCCATGGAGATAAACAGAAGGTCTCCCTCGGACACCCCCCCCTCCTTGTTTTAATTTAGGACCCTCTTTTTTTCTTTTTTTTAAGAAAAGGGAAATCAAACATGGGGTCTTCCAGTGGGTTCCGGATAGGCAAAGGGCATGCAGCAAAGAGCAGAGGAGAGGGCCAGGATCAAGTTGGAAGGCAGGAATGGGGTGGGGGGAGCAGGAGGAAGAGGGGTTTATATTAATGGATGAGAAGCATGTATGGTTGATAACAGGGCAGCAAAGAAGCTTTTTTTTTTTTTTTAACCCAAACCATCAGGTTGCGATCCCAAAGTGGCTTTTCCACCAGGCCACTGGACGTCCTTGTTTTCCTTTGAAGGCATTTCGCTTCTCATCCAAGAAGCTTCTTCAGATGAGAAAGTGAAGAAAGAGCTTCAGAAAGAGCCGAAGAAGCTTCTTGGATGAGAAGCGAAACCTCTTCAA